CATACCTGGTTAATGTGTTTGGGGCTGGGATCTAACCCAGGACCTCAGGCATGCTAGCTAGGCAAACGCTCTCCCAACTGAGCCGCATCCTCAAGCCCTCACTCAAAGCACCCAGCTTGTTGGGCTAGGAAGGTACTAACAGCTGTGGTCCCTGTGCACTCCCGAGCATGCAGAGTTAAACAAGATGGCAAGAAAATAGAGAGTTGCCATCCCTCCCTCTACTGGTCTACACATGGTATTCCTACCCCGAATCTGCCCCCACCGCATCTCTGCATTATTCACGTTGACTCATCCTGCAGTTCTCAGTTGAAATACCACCTCCCGCACCTCATCTTCCCAGCTGGCCTCATTGAGCAATGTGTTCCTGGAGCCTGTGTTTCTCCCATGCAGGTACAAATGGTACTGAACTGTCATCCAGTCACCTGTCTGTGTGTCCTGTCCCCTGCAACCACCAGGGCAGGACTCATCCCAGTGTGGCTGTACCTCCTAGCCTATCAGTCAACCCACCAGAGGAAGAGGTCATCGAACTGAGGAGTGAGGGAGAGAAAACATGAAAATGAATGAATGAATGAATGAGTGCAGAGGGGATGTCTCTGTTCTGGTGGTGCCTGCTTCCATCATTCCCCAATTCAAGCAAATGTTTATTAGGATGGTGGAATATCTCTGTGGCAGAACTCTTACCTAATGTGCACAATGCCCCAAGTTTCATATCTGTGTGTGTGTGTGTGTGTGTGTGTGAGAGAGAGAGAGAGAGAGAGAGAGAGAGAGAGAAGAAAGAGAGAGAGAGAAAGAGTCACACAGGGAGTTCTCTTATTCCTCTGTGGGTTCTGGGGATCCAACTCATATTGTCAGTCTTGTGCTGCAAGTGCTTTTAGCTAATGAGTCATCTGGCTGGCCCTGGTCCTCACCTTTTTTGGGACAGGTCTCATACTATAGACTAGAATGGTCTAGAACTCAGTATGTTGCCCAGACTGGCCTCTGACCCATGGCATTCTTAGTGCCTAAGCCTCTTGCACCCTAGGATTATATCTGTGAGCCTCCGTGCTCAGCTAAAAATTAGGTGACTTTGAGGGACTTTGGCTTCCTTTTAGAAAGAAAAGTATGCTGACCTCCAAGTCTAAAGGATGATTCCTAGAGACAGAGAACACTGATTCATTCAGTGAATATCTGCTATCTATCTATCTATCTATCTATCTATCTATCTATCTATCTATCTTCTATATACCATTCATCCATCCACCCATCCTTCCATCCATCCATCCAGTGAGTTAGCTGGTTATTTGGATTTTGAGACAGTATCCTATAGCCCAGGCTGGCCTGGCACTTGCTATGTAACTGAAGACGACCTTGCATTCTGCATCCTCTTGACCACCTCTCACGGGCTGGACAGCAGGCATGAGACATCATAGCTGGCTTGTTGTTTTCATTTTTATGTGGTACTGGGGATTGAACCCAGCCTGAGTGCTGAGTCACGCTTCCAGCCCCTAGTAGATATGCTCCTTCTTAGAAAGACCAATGCCCAAGATCTCTGGAAGGAACCCAGATCTGCTGGATCTGACCAATGGTGGGGTTCAGATTTGCTCCCCAAACACCCATCCGCTCTTTTCCTTAAAAAAAGAAGTTACGTTTTTATTATACTTTGTTTATTTTGTGTGCTTGTATCTGTGTGTCACTGCACACATGTGGAGGCCAGAGGACAACTCAGTTCTCTCCTTCCTTCATGAAGCTCCCAGGGCTGGAACTCACACAGTCCGGCTTGGACATGGGGCCTTTAGCTGTGGAGTCACCTCAGCGGTCCCCAAGGCAGGTTCTTGACAGTCTCACACTCAAAATGAATTTTTTTAATATTATATTTTGAGGGGGTGGTATGGGGTGTTTGTGGGGGTATGGGAGGATGGGAGGAAGAGGGAACTGGGATTGGTATGTAAAATAAGATTGTTTTTATTTAAATAAAATGAATAAAAAGTTATATTTTGAAATTAAAATATAATTACATCATTTCTCTCCTTCCCTTTCCTCCCTTTGACACCTCCCATGACTCCCCTTTGCTCTCTCTCAAATTCATGGCCTCTTTTTCTTGAATTGTTTATATATATTATATATCTCATACTATGTATTATATAATACATTTATAATATAACATATTATATTATAACTATAATGCACATATACATATATTCCTAAACATATACATACTACCTGCTCAGTTTGTATATGGTGCTTGTATTTATATGATTTCAGGCTGACCACTTGGTGTTGGATAACTAATTGGGGAGGTTTTCTCTGGGGAAGTCTATTTCTCTCAGCACTCCATAGTTGCCTGGGCTTGAGACCCTGTGAGATTCCTCCTATCATGTTGTCTACCAACGACATCCTTGTTCCCATCTATAATAGTCTCTGTCAAAGTTCCTTTGATGAGGCGTGGGAGCTACACTTATCTGTGGGAATAAGGATAACTATTTAGAATATGCAGTCAGAAATTGTGCTTTTTTGTTTTTTAGTAAAATGGCAGTTGCAGATTCTCCTCCCCAAGATCTAGGACCTCATTACCTTGAGGTAATTGGCTAGGTTTCCAGAAAGCTATTGGTTACCGCCAAGATATGTGTGCCATGACTGCAGCCTTAGTGCTAACAGTTCATAGGCATCACAGCTGGGTAGGACTATTGGTTGCTTCCCTCCCAGGAGCTTGCATGGGACCTTCTGGTGCTATGAAAGTTAGTCCTCAGAGATGAGGATTTCCAGTCAGGGTTAGTTTGGACACTTTGGGTCCTGTGTCTATGGTGCATAGTGCCTTTGGTAATAGTGACTTTCCTTCAACCCCTGGAAGCAACCAAGGGCAATGGCCATGGCCTACAATGTTTTAGGAGTCATTTGGACTACCCTGAGCAACAACTCCAAAAGGGGCTTCTCCAGCTTAGTATTGGGAGTTTCGTTAGATAGTCTATGACTCTTGGGGGTAGCATTGTCAGACCAGGTAGGAAATTTTTATTTAAACGATGTATGTATGTGTATACACATAGACTTATATGTATTATATGTAATTTTAGATAAATAATGATTCCTTATTACTATTTGTTTTTTAGATAGCCTCACCATCATTATACCCTCCTCACTCTCTTTCCATCTTTATTGTTTGTTTGAGATAGAGTTTCTGTTTTGTTCTGATTGCCCTGGAGTTTACCACGTAGATCAGGCTGGCCTGGAACTCATAGAGATCCTTCTGCCTCTGCTTGTCAAGAGCTAGAAGGAAGAGCACGGGCTGCCATTCCTGGCCTTTCTCTCTTTAGCTAGGGTTTCATGTAGCTCAGGTTGGCCTTCATCTCTTGATCCTCCTGCCTCCACCTTGGAAATGCTGGAATTACCGGCTTGTGTCACCATAAAGGAATGGGTGGGAGGGATATTGGGACTTGGGGGGCAGTAGACATCCGTTCCTCCATTCATCTGGGGAGTTGGCAGCAGATATTTACCTGATGCAGAAAACACCAGTCAAGCTTCTCTGAGTGAGGTGCTTTTGCACTGAGAGGCCCAAAGCTATTCTCAAAAGCAGAGTCATCCATGTTTAGGATGCCACCATGGGGGAGGGAGGGCATTCGTTCTTGCTGAGCCTCCCTCACTCTCACTGAACCCTCTGATTCTCTGAGTTCCCATGGCCTGGGTTTCCCTTCCCCCACTTTGCCGTGTTGCGCCCCCTCCCCAGTCTCTATACCGAGGCATCGATTAACGGGCAGCCCTGGGTCCTGTTACTGAACTCACTGAGCTGACCGGCCCCTGGCCCCTCCTCATCGGAGTCATCGCCTCTGAGGGCTACTCCAGTCCACTAAACACCCCCTTTCTACCTTTGAGTCGGCTCTCTTCTCTGAATCTATCTCCGATTCCTCCCTGGCTCGGTGAGCTGCCTCTGGAGACTTGTTGTCATGCCCACAGTTCCTGAGTAACTCAATCAAAAGGCGCCTGTAAGCACTTAGAGAAGGTCAGCGGAAAGGAGGGACCGAGGCTTTCCTCCTCCTCTACCCAGATTCCTCTCCAGATTCTTTGAGATTCATGGCGCCGGCCACACCTTTGGCAGGTCCTCTGAAACCCAGGGGCCGCTGCAGTTCTTCCTAATGGGATTTAAAACTGCTTTTCCGTCCTCCGGATCGTGCCCCCTCCCACCACGGTCCCCTTCCATCTTCGATGGCACATTCAAATAGATACATTGGAGTCTGGGTCAAGGTGAGAACAGCAGGGCTACTTCTGCTGTGGTGGAAAGAAACTGGGTAGAGTCAGGAAGATTAAAATCCTAGATATAGAGTCGAGCGCCTGGGGGAGGGGAGGACTCCAAGTATCTCAAAGGGCTCTGATGAATGGCTGAGCTTATTCGATTCTGACCACTATCCCACAAAGTGACCTTGAGCATCGCGGCTTCTTCTGAGTTTCCCCCTCCGCGTAAAAGGAATGGGGGAGGTGTTTTGTGTGCTGGCAGGTGCACACACAGGCAGGGCTGGAGCTAGAACATAATTTTGGACACCTTGGGGTTCTTTAAGGGCCCCCACGAAAGTTGGAGGGCCCAGCAGCTGCGGCTGTAGTGTTTGCTTTGCAAGTTAAGTGCCTTCCTGGTGTTCAAACAATCCAGTCATCTCCAACCTTCTGTGGACGACAGTTGTCCCTCTGCCTTAATCACTCTCACAACCCCAAAATGATGGGAGAGGGAGTCCTAGCGAGCCTTGTGGCCCAGGAGACCCTGAGCACTGAGTTCTAGGCCAGGCTCTCACTGTCATGCTGACGAGGAAGGGGTGCGGGGGTGACGCTCAGTCCAAACCCTCCTCTGGGTGGAGACTGAAATGTATGACTTTTAAGCATCACTTGGAAGTTTACTGCTGTGAGAGTCCAGGCGAGGAAAGTGACCGCCACTTACCCACCCAAAACTTGGTGTGATGTCCAAATAGGGCCAACCTGGAAGAAGGACCGGGAACCTGAGGCTCTTGGGGACCCGCTTCTTGGTGGAGGGCAGGGCCGATTGAGGACGAGCAAGTCTCGATTGGCTGTGTTGCCCATCGCTCCGCCCCACGTGTTATAAGTTGCTGGGCGGTGCGTGCGGCCTGGGTGTGGGCTCTGCAGCCACCTCTCCCTCGTCTCGTGCCCAGCGTCTCTCCTCCCAGCGCACCGACAGCTCGGGGCCGCCGCGGGGCGGGGGATGCCGGGCTGCCGCATCAGCGCCTGTGGCCCAGGGGCCCAGGAAGGGACGGCAGAACCGGGGTCCCCCCCGCCGCCACCCCGGGAGCCCCTGCCGTCCCTCCAGCCCCCGCCCCCATCGCCGACCTCGACCCCGACACCCGCTCAGTCACCGTCGTTGCCCGAAGCGGCGGAGACACGGGCGGAGGGGCAGGAGCTGCAGCGCTGGCGCCAGGGTGCTAGTGGGGGTCCCGGGGGCGCGGGCTCGGCGGGGGGCGCGGGCGGGGGAGCGGGCGCGGCGGCAGGGGCCGGGGGCCGCGCGCTGGAGCTGGCAGAAGCGCGGCGGCGGCTGCTGGAAGTGGAGGGCCGCCGGCGCCTGGTGTCGGAGCTGGAGAGCCGGGTGCTGCAGCTGCACCGAGTCTTCTTGGCTGCCGAGCTGCGCCTGGCGCACCGCGCCGAGAGCCTGAGCCGCCTGAGCGGCGGAGTGGCCCAGGCCGAGCTCTACCTGGCGGCGCACGGGTCGCGTCTCAAGAAGGGTGCGCGCCGCGGTCGCCGGGGTCGTCCCCCCGCGCTGCTGGCATCCGCCCTCGGCCTGGGAAGCTGCGTGCCCTGGGGCGCCGGGCGGCTGCGGCGCGGCCACTGCCCGGAGCCCGACTCGCCCTTCCGCCGCAGCCCGCCCCGCGGCCCCGCCTCCCCCCAGCGCTGACCTCAGAACCCCGGACCCCTGGGCTCCGGAGACGGGCAGAAGGACGGTCGGACCGACCGACGGGTCCGGGTGCTGGCTAGATGGACGGCATCGTCTACTCGGAGGAGACAGTCGGGGGCCAAGGGACCCTGAAAGTGAGACTGAGGTGAGGTGGTGCGGACTGGTGCTTTCTGGAGTACAGTGTGTCTGTGTCGAGGGGTGCAGCGCCCGGGACCTCCCATCTCTGGGGCGTTTGGCGTCTGTGGGGCTCTGATAGAACCGAACGGTTTTTTTCGTGGTTTCTTCCCTCATGCTGGGTTAGATGGCAGTGCCAACCTCCCTTATAGAGCAGAACTAGTGGAGGGTCGGGCTTCAGGAAGGGGTTTGGTGGCAAACTTTAGCCAGCCGGAGCCTGCTGCCATATTGCAACATCTGCCACCCTCACCTGTGGTTGTGTGGTCTCTCCTGGGTCCCTTGGGACTGTAAGTCAAGTCCTGCCCAGCTCCATCTCTTGGGGAGGGAAGAATAAGGTCCCAGGATGGAAGGAGGGTTGCCAAGGGGCTGTATGCCCGGATTCTCCTCCTCTGAGCCCGTTTCCCATTAGAGGAGACAGAATCCCATAGAGGTTGAAGATTTGGTCCCATAGTATTTAGGCCTCTCTGCTTCTAGGACACAGTTTTTCTCCTGCTTCTAATAATTTTGCTACCTGTGTTTGTAGCCTTACGTAGATGACCAGAATGGAATGTTTATCACCTGCTCACCTAGCAGCCCCCCTCCCCCAGTATCTCTAAGATGGCTCTGCCAGGGATGGAGGCAGGTGACACTCTTTAGCAGCCCCAAGAGGGCAGGCCTGGCATCAGCTTCCAGAAATGGGGCCTTCAAGGGCCAGACTGGACGTGCCACCTGCTTCTTCCTGACCAGATGTCCTTCAGGCCCCATTCCTCCGTCCCCACTCAGTGACCTGGCTGCAGCCACTGCCAGTGGTAAAGTGGGTATATCCGCTTTTCAGGAGGCTGTGGGGAGGCTAAAAATGGGGTGAAGGATTCTTTTTCCCCACTATAAGTCATGGTAGGATATTTTGCTCATTTAAATCATACCTAGAGACGGGTGCTGGCTCGTCCAGCCAGGAGCTGATTTAAAGTCCTCACTTTATAGACTGGAAAAGGGACTTCTCAAGGTCACATGCCAGAGAGAGCCTGTGTGTGCTCTTTTCACTGTATCCCAGCTAAGGAGAGCTGACCTCTGGGCCCTGTCTACAGTGACCCTGAACAGTACTGCCCCTCTCTGAGTCACATCTTCTCTGTCAGGCCTGAGGAAGAGGAAGATGTCAGAGTCACAGCAATACCATTGTCCTGCCAGTAGTCAGGTTTATTGTCATAGGCAGGGGTCCTCAGCTGACCCCACCCCCTCCAGGCCTTTCCCTCCACACATATCAGACTTACTGACTGGGTTCTCAGAAGACCTTCCTGAAGCCTTCTTAGTTGACCAGCTCAGAGCTTCTAAGGGAGCCGTGGGGCCAGGGCCGTGAGGACTCTGGCATGTCTTGGCCTCCCCGGATAGGGAGGACTTATTGAGGCCTCTCAGGTTATCTACAGTGCTGAGAACACAGGACTCCCTGGAGGTGACATAGTTGGTGTTCAGGCTGCAGCTCTGGGCTGCCACCAGGGCCGCCTGGTTTCGGGTTTGCAGGGATGGCACTGGATCTGGAGAAGCTAAAGGCATAGAGAGCTTCCTACCATTGCAGTTAGGGCGGACTCTTGTAATCAGCTTTGACCTGATTTAGAGGTGGGGGTGGGGGGATACATAGAGATGACACTTGTTGGAGAATGGCGGGTGGGCAGGTAGAGGTGCTGGCAGCTGTGGCCCCTCCCCTTCCAGATGCCAGCCCCCCCCCCCCAAGAAAGTCGGGGCCAAGGCACACAGCTCACTGACTTGAACCTTAGGTTATGTTAGTGTGCTGTGCTAACGTCACCTCCTCACCCTGCCTGGCCCTCCTAGGACCCTGTGTAGGGTTCCCAGGTCTGGCCCCATTCTCTCCTCACCCAGCAGACACCGATTTCGATTTACTCCTTGGGTTTCAGGAGGAAACACGCACCGGAGGGTCTCTACCTTGAAGGGCTTGCTTTCCAGACCTCTTCCGGGTAGCTTTCCCTGGAGGTCACCTCCCAGGAGACCTAATTGGGGCCCAGATTATTTTCTCATTTTGTTTTTTGAGGCAGGTTTGCCTTAACCTCCATAAATAGCAGGGGATGACTTTGAACTTTTTTTTTAAGCATTCATTACTTATTCATGGGTGGGTGAGCAGTGTGCACGTGCCAGAATGCTGTGTTGAGGTCAGGTGGAAACTCAGCAGGAATCCATTCTCTCTCCCATCACGTGGGTCCCAGAGGTTGCGCTCAGGTGGTCAGGCCTGGCAGAAGCTGTGAGATTCTGATCTCTTGCCTCCCTCTCCCAAATCATGGGTTTCAGGTAAACACCCCCCTACGTTGTGTTTATGTAGTGCTGGACCAGGGCCTGGTCCATGCTGGACGGGCACTCTACCGACTGAGCTACATCCCCAGCCCCTGGGAATTATGTGGGTTTTTTGTTTTGTTTTGTTTTTCGAGACAAGGTTTCTCTGTAGCTTTGGAGCCCGTCCTGGAACTCCATCTGCAGACCAGGTTGGCCTCGAACTCCCAGAGATCTGCTCCTGAGTGCTGAGCTTAAAGGCGTGTGCCACCACCGCCTGTCGGAAATTATGTTTTAGACTGGCTAACATTACTGTACACCTGAGCCAAAAGCGCTCTTCCAACATGACTTCCTGATGTAGCTCTGGCTGAATACTTTCTTGATGACCCCTAGCCTGCAGCCTGGGTGAGTTCAGGGACCCTGGGGATCTATGCAATGAGGACATTATGTCAACCAGTAAATCTGGGTGCTCAGTAAACAGGAGAGAAACAATCCCCTTTCCGTCTTGACTGGTCCAGAAGCTAGCTTAGCAGTGCCACCAGAGGGCAGTGTGGAGCTGCTGAGTAAGAGTTGGGGGCGTGGCCTGGAGCGTGTTCTGTTCGCTGTGGCCCAGTCCTCAGCCATCCCCTTCCCCTGTGGTCCTGGGACTTTCTGGCTTTGGGTGGTAAGGGTCTGCAGAACAAGCGGAGGTGGCTGTCCCTGGGGCGCATTACTGAAGGAGTGATTCCAGTGATGGCTTCCAGCGTGAGGAGGCTGGAGTTCTGATCTGCATCTATCACTCCTGGGAGCACAACTCTACAAGAGGCACACAGAGGACCCTGGCTTCCAGAGAATCTCGTAGGGAAGGTTTCTTGGGAAAAGGCCTCCACTGTTGAGCGTCACCACCCGAGTCAGTTCTGTGGGCACAGACTTGTTCCGCCCATGACAGCACTGGGACCTGCCTCCACCTAACTACCGAGGTGTTTCCTAGACAGGAGGCTGAAATGACAGGTCCAGACTAAGGTGTTCCAGCCCTGCGGTGGGCAGTGCCTTGTGCTGACAGCTTGATTCCTTGAGAACCACTCAGCTGTCCTGGAGAGACTCTAGGCGGGGAGGGAAGTATTTAGGAAAGCTGGAAAAGTCCCAGCCTATTTCTTCCCCCATTATTCTTTTGACTACACCCTGGCCAGAAGTGACGAGAGGAGAGAACCCTTAGTTCTGGAATAAATGAACCACTTCCTTCACACTGGGTGCCATGCCAGACACTCTACACCCATTATTCACATTGTCTCAAACGCTGCAAAGCAGTGTTCTTAACCCCATGGCCATCGCGGGGTCTGAGGGCCGAGGTGGCAGATAGCTTCTCAGAGGTGGAGAGCCTATGATTTCAATGGGCTAGTGACAGTACCATTTTGGGGGGCTTCTGAGTTCTCATTTTTAATGGGTCCAGTCCTGGGGAGGGAGGCGTGAGATACTGGAGGGGTGGCAAAGTGTGTCTGGCACCCTGTCCCTCAGGACTGGACACACCCTTTGCCAGGTTGTCTGGGTTCTGGGGGTGAGTCAAGCTGACTCAACATACCGGGCTTGTGGCAAGGGTGGGCCAAACATGTTCAGGGCTGTATGCAGGGCTGAGGCTTTCCTCCGGCTGTCTCCCCTCCCTGAAGACCTAGGCAGGGATGTTTGGAGCCAAGGAACAAAAGCCTGGGCAGCAGGAGAGGAGGATGGCATGTACTATGGCAGGCAGAAGGCCTAAAGTAGAACAAAACAAACCCGAGATTTGGTCTTTGGGTGAATTGAATTGTGTCAGCTTGGGCAATGACTTTCTCTTTTTAAATCTTTTGTTTTTTTGGGGGGACAGGATTTCTCTGTGTAGCCGTGGCTGTCCTGGAACTTGCTCTATATAGACCAACCTGGCCTCAAAGTCAGAGAGATCCCAGTACTGGGATTAAAGATGTGTGTCACCACCAGGCTTTAAATTTTTTTTATCTGTTTTTATTTTAACTGATGTGTACATGTGTGTGCAGGCGCCCTTGGAGGACACCAGTGTGGGACCCCCAGGAACTGAAGTGCCAGGCATTTGTAAGCTGTTTGGTGTGGGTGCTGGGAACCGAGTTCGTGTCCTACACCAGAGCACCACATGCTTTTAACTTCTGAGCCGTCTCCCCAGCTCTTGAATCAATTATTTTGAGGAACACTAAAGAGCAGCTAGCTTCTGGGTGTAAGAAGTCCTACTGAGTGCCTCATAGTGGGGCTCTGTGAATAGTGGAACCACTCTGCCCAGAACAGGAGAGAACGAACGCCAAAGATAACATTCCACTGGAGGAGCAATGCACCCCTTGGTGGCTCTAGAGCAGGGGTTCTCAGCCTATGGGTTGAGACTCCCATAGGAATTGCCTAAGACTATTGGAGAACGCAGATACGGTTCATAGTAGTGGTAAAATTACACTCATAAAGCAGCAAAGAAAATAATTCTGTGGTCGGGGTCACCACAGCATGAGGAGCTGTATTAAAGGGTGCAGCGTTAGGAGGGTTGAGAACCGAGGCCCTAGAGCACCACCATATTGGGAATCTGTGGGACAGCCCTGGGGAGAGGGGGCAGGCTCTTCATTCCAGGAACATTCCATTCCAGCTGCTCAGACTGGTGGAGATCCCAGCCAAGGACAAAGACCCAAGGGAACCTTTGCTCCTCCGATCCCCTTTCCATAGCAAACCCTCTTGCCCTGCCTCCCCATGGTAGTCCTTCTCAAGGAGAAAGATGCGGAAGGTTGTGGGTGGGGTGGGGCAGCTTCTGGAAAAGGTAGTTAAGGCTCTTGGCATTTTCTTCCAGCTCCTCAGAGTCTCCACTTTCTGGGTCTGGACTTCTGCATTCCACGCCTTCTCTGGATACCGCCCTCAGGAAGACTTCCAGGATTGACTGCACCCTCCTCTCAGAGCCTTTACAGTGGCTGGGGCCTGGGGCCTGGGAACTTGCTATACTCTGAATTGCTTTGCATACCCTGCATCTGACTTGGTTTATACAGGGACCCAGATGCTGTCAGGTAGCTGAGAGTGCAGCAACCATGAGAAGGATTTCTTCTTAAAGACAGAGTCCTCATTCTTAAACAAGTCACAGTGTAGCTGGAGTCCCTGTCACAAGTCACAATGCAGCTGGAGTCCCCATCACCACAAGTTGGTGTAGCTGGAGTCCCCATCATCACTAAGTCCGATAGCTCCAGGAGGCCTATTTGAGGCCTGGTGTAGGAAACGCCCATTTCCCCATCACCCACTGTCTTTGTCCTCCCCATGTGAGTGAGGACAATACTTGCTTGCAGACAATCAGCTGCTGCCTCCTAGGGGGACACCTCTTTCTTAGGATGAGGTGGTGGAGACATCAGACTTCCAAGCAAAGTTAATGCACAAAGGAAATCCATTTCTTCACATATCCTGATGAGGGAAGGAGGCACATGTACTCGCACACCGCCCAGAACTTAGAGGCTTCTGTAACATGGTTGTATATCGACTCAGTCCCCAATTGTATACACGCGGGAAGAATAAATCTCAGTAATGTGAGGCTAAACCGTGCAGTTTTGAGGTTCATGCTGCCAGTGTCCTTGCTGCCTTTCCTCCGGGTGGGTCATGTCTCTCAGCTGACAGCTCCTGGAGGGCTTGTTTGGTTTGGCAGTCTGGGCCTGGGGACTGGCTCACAGACGGATTGCTCCCTGGCTCAGAGCTGACCCTCAGGAAATCTGTTTATGGGTGTGATGAAGATGCCCAGAGACAGGAATGCGTGTGAGAGACCGAGGCTGGGATACTGTGGCAGTGTCCACCGAGGGCTCCTCGGGAGACAGGCACATTTAAACTTGGGCGAGTTTTTTTTTAAAGGGACTCTTTCTAAAGGTGTGGGGTGTACCTGAGAAACTAATAAATGGGGGAAGCCAGGACTGGTGACATACAGCTGTAACTCCAGCACTTGGGAGACTGAGGCAGGAAGATGGGAGAATCTAAGGCTAGCCTGGGCTACATGGGACTAGAGATACTTCAGTAATAAGGTGTTTCCCTAGAATGTGGGAGGCCCTGGGTTCTAGAGAGCTCCAGAGAATTCACAAGAATGAACACCTTCCATTGTTGGGTCTGCAGCAGGGAGGCAAGGGTTAAAGAATTGCTGTCATTGCTGGAGGGGTGTGAACCATGATAGCTTGGAGGGGAGGGACTAGTCACGAACAGCAGGAAACCAGGAACAAGGGAGCCTTTGACTCCTTCCAACAGCTTCCCCCAGGGCCTGAGCAGAAGGGCAGGTAGTGGCTCTGGAGGGGCCGGCACACCATGTGCCTGCCTGGGGTGCCCTTTCTCAAGTCTACATCACCATGGCTTTGCCCTCTGACTTCATTCTGGAAGGGAAGGGGCTAGGTGGGCTGTTGCTGGTACAGCGATTAGAAGGTGAATGAAGGACAGGACTCTCCCCCCTCAACTGGCCTCTGATTCCAAATTCCTGATGCCTGCACATCCTAGCTTCCACAAGAACAAGGACAGGTACAGAGTGTCTTTCTCACACCCGGAAACAACGCACCACACCCACAGGTTCACAGGTGCGCTGTTACCACAACAGGTCCCAGACAGTCACCCCAAGCCATGACTACAGCACAGACACATCAAGAAAATGTATGTCAGCCGGGCGTTGGTGGCTCACGCCTTTATTCCCAGCACTCGGGAGGCAGAGGCAGGCGGATCTCTGTGAGTTTGAGACCAGCCTGGTCTACAGAGCGAGTTCCAGGACAGCCTCCAAAGCCACAGAGAAACCCTGTCTCGAAAAAAAACCAAAAAAAAAAAAAAAAAAAGAAAATGTATGTCCTGGCACATTACTGCACTTTGCCAGTCATACAGAAAGTAGCCTTGCCACACGCACACAGAGACAGACTTGTCACCATCATTCATGTGGCATCACAATGCAGGGTGGGTTGCAACATTGTGAGTCTGACAAGCCTCTTGGACCACTTTGGCCTCCGTTTTTGTCTCTAAAATGGAAATAGTACTATTCTCTGGAGTTGTTAGAAGGATGCAGCTCCACGTGATGGCTGGGCACACCTAAGCATGGCATCTGACCTGGAATAAACCATGCTAGACAGCTGCTGCCACGCCCACACCTCCTCACGTCATGCACGTGTGTGTGCCCCGGCTCCAGAGAGTAACCACGCCCACACAGCGGCCAGACATCCTCAGGCACACGTGCCCTCCTGCGGGCATGCCTGCCAGGGCACGTGTGTATTCACAGACAAGCTCCCTTGGCCCAGAACACTTTCTCCAGACAGCTACATGGCTCCCTTCCCAGAACCTGTCTGCCTTTGTTCAATCCAATACCATCTTTCAATGAGGGGCAACTCGTGTGGATTGAAGTTCCTTGTTACATTTTTATGCACTGCTGACCTCCTAAGACCACAGTATACCTTATTAGGCTGCAACTGTCACGAGGGTAGGGATCCTAAGACCCAGAACCATAACAGGCATATGGTTGAGCTCAGATAGTGCACACATGCAGAGACCAGGACCTCTGGGATTCTCATCTTCTGAACCAAGCACATCCAGGTGAACCCTCACCCCAACCACTGAGCCTGCTGTGTTTACTCTGCTTCCAGCTCAGGGTCAGGCTCACGTGGCCAAACTGGGAGGTAGGTTTTATCTGAGAGCTTTAGTTAGGTGGCCACATCTGGGTGGGACAGAGCCCTTTCAATTCCCTTTCCAACTGTTTGGAGCCGTGAGAAGGAACTGAGGCGCTTGCCAAACCCACAGAGCAGGTGAGGGCTATCTGCTGACCTGGGGCAGCCTCTGCTGCTTTAATTTTTCCCACCCTGACGGGAACCATCAAAGTCACCACTTCAGAGCAGCCTAATGAGGCTGAATGTGTCCAAGGCTTTGGGATCCCCAGATCAAAGAGGCAGGGTAAACAGTGGGCAGCGTCCAGAGGTGAGTGCCAATGCCCTGAGGGAGCAGCTCCCCAATAGCTGGTACGGCTTCAGAGAGACCCAGCACCTCTCCAGGAAACCTGTTTACAATAAGCTAGAGTATGCCCATGTCTACTTGCTGGGGAGACCCTACCTGGAGTCTGGGGGACCCTCCAAGTCCTCCAGCCTCAGCCTTCAGTCCAGTTCAGATTCACCCTGCTGGCTTCCTGGGGAGACAGACTGGAGGGCCTGCTCACCAAAGGCCAGGTTCCGGCCTCTAGGACTCCAGGGACAGAACCTGGAGAGATGGATATACATTCCTTTTAACACGAGAGGTCTAGACTTGCTGAAGCAACAAGGAGACCAGCCACACTCCCAGTTCATAGTTGTCGAGCTGTGGACAGGAGGGACACACCACAGTCACTCCTGGCTCCTCCCACAATACCAGCCAGACTCAGCCTGGGGAGGTAGTGCCAGCCCTGTGTCGTAGAGATCCTTACCCCGGGAGATAGCATTCAGTTATGCTCACTCGCTCGGTGTAGATGATCTTTATTGGTGGAAGAGTGCAGCACAGCAGCCAGTCCAGAGAAGAGAGATGGGGCAGGCCTCCCTCCCCCTGGTGAAGATCCTGTAACCAAGCAAGTGGGGTGGGTGCCCCTAACTGCAGCAGCTCTGGACCCAGCAGCCTCCAATATTAAGTGTTCAGACGGCAGGGCTCCTGGGAGGCCACAAGGGAAGGGAGGGGTATGGCTGCATCCTGTCCTGCTGTTCAGAGCCCATTCACTGTAAACCTCAGCACCTCAAGAAGTCCATGCAAGTCCCAGGGACTGAATTCCCGTCTCTCCAAAAATCCAGGGAGCTGCCTCATACCTTAGTTTATCTCTTCCTAATGGTCAATGAAGTTGGGCCACCAGGCTCTGAGTCATTCAGCTAGACCCCAGGTGAGTATCCTGTCACATGATGTCATATTTTAGCCCGCACAGGAGCTTCTGGGTCCCTGTGGGCTGACCCCATCTAGGCCATGGGGATCAACCCAAGGTGTTGCTGCTGAGACTGCCCCCGACCCCAGAGCTGACTTTGTCTTTTCAAGACACATTAGCCTCCATGACCCAAGTCAAGCAGGCCCAAGAGTGTGGTGCGAGGACCAAAGGGTCCTCCTCTCAAGACCCTGACTTGGCTTAAAGCCCATAGGACATCATGCAGGGAAAGTCTAGTCTGTTCAAAGGCCCAGCGCTATAGTCCCCGGCCGGCTGACACAGGTGGCCTGTGTCTGGTCACATCCTCCACACACACACCTGATGACTCCGCCCCACCCCGGTGGCGCACATTTCCTCCTGGCCAGGATGAGAGTCAGTTGCAAGGCAGCCAGGTGGGATAGGAGTGAGCCCGGGGCAGCAGAGGCTGCATGGGGGTCACATAGTAGTTAACCGTGGCTGGCACAACCCCATCGGAGCCTAGACGCCGCCAGGCCAGGGCAGCGGCGGCAGCAGGGCCCTGCTCAGCTAGGGCCTGGAGGGCTAGCATCGCGATAAGGTCCAGAGTCTGGCGGCGCTCATGGCTCATGAGGCACACTGTGCTCTCGTTGACCACCTGGTGCAGTGTTACAAGGCAAGCGTACCGGCGGGCTGCATCTGCTCCGCCAAAGTGGGCCTCTAGGTAGCGCTCCAGAATGCGCCTCTGCTCCACCGGGTCCGGAAAGTCGATGAAGAAACGGGAACACATGTATCGCTGCAGGGCCCGAACATCAGTGCTGGGCCTTGGCCTGAAGCCCCGCACCAGGAGGTGGCAGTACTTGAGGAGGCCACCGCCACGGATCTCCTCGGGGCTTCGCGTGGCAATGACTCGGTGCTGCAGGTGCTCCAAGGCCTCAGCAAAGTCCCCGTAGAGGCTCTCGCCTGTCACAGTTGGGTGGAAGGCCTCTGACATCGGCGTGGATGAGCACTGGCCAAAGAGCAGCAGGGAGTCCAGGATGATCTGGAAGGAGTCAACGCTGAATTCAAACTGGCGCCTCACGGAGTCCACGAACTTGAGCTCCACGTTCTTACCGCTCTTGTTGGATAGCGAGATGAGGCTCCAGCGGTCCAGGTCCGTGCACACTTTCACCAGCTTCTGCACATAGGCCTCCTTGAGCGTCAGTGGCGTGATCTTGGCCCGGCTCACTCCCACTGGCAGGAAGTCCAGCAGGCAAGCCAGGACCACTGCCTTGGTCAGCTGGAAGGATGCCTCACTCTGCAGGTCCATCTGGAACACCAGGTCCAGGTCCTTGTAGCCTAGGCCACTCTCAGGATGCAGCACGTGGCTAGCGGCTGAGCCGTGCAGTCGAACACTGTGTACGTGCAATCCCTGTTCCTCCAGGCTGCTGCGGACCACCTGCAGGGGAGGGTGGGGGGAGAGACGGGTCAGGTAGCTGGGTCTCTCAGGTCTGCACCAAGGACTTCCAGGATCGATTGATCATGCTACCACTGTTGGCCTCTTACCAGCTTCTGTGTCTTTGTGAAGTCTTTTAACTTACCAAGCCTTGATTTGCCAATCTGGAGAAGGGCCCAGTTGAAAGGAATGACTCAGAAGAGCAATAAAAATAACAAATGCAAGCGGAGAACTTACGAAGCACTTTACATTAAAATACAGCCTCACTTAATCTTCATAATAACCTGATGAGGCAAGGTATATTCCTGCTTCACAGGTTGGGAAAGAAGCACAGAGCAGCCTGAGAACTGTCCAAAGTCACACAGCTGGTAAAAACAGAGATGGCATGCAACACAGAGCTGAGGTCTTCCCACGGCACTACCTGACCTTCCTAACACGGCAAGGCAAACACTTGGTATCATGCCAGGCACTGCGTGATGGGCTGCTTAGCGCCACATGCCTTCACACATTAACTCCCATGACAGTCCTTTTTGAGGACTGCTATCCAGTCGACAGATGAAGGGGTGTAAAAAACCACATCCAAGGCTGTAGCATAGGCAGCCTAAGACCGGAACTCAGGTTGATTAGATTCACAAGCCCACGTATGCCCTTGAATTTTTTAAATTTTGACTTAGCTTTATTCATCTTTTTATTTTTATTTCTTTTTCTTTTTTAGAGACAGGGTCTCACTATGTAGCAGCTCTGGCTGTCCTGGAACTCATTCTGTAGACCAGGCTGACCTCGAACTCAGAAATCTGCTTGCCTCTGCTTCCTGAGTGCTGGGGATAAAGGGGTTTTTCTACCACGCCCAGCTATTTTCAGTTTTTTAAATATTTTTAAATCTATGTATATGTGTGTTTTGCCTGCATGGACACATGTACTCCATCCATGGAGGCTAGAAGAGGGCTTCAGAGTCTCGGTCCCGGAGTTACAGGTGGTTACGAGTTGTCTTGTGGGAGCTGGGAATGGAAGCCAGTCCTCTGGGAGAGCAGCCAGCGCTCTTAACTGCTGAGCCTTCTCTCCACCCCGTTCTTTCTTTTGACTATGACAGATACTTTTTTTTTTTTCTTGCTTGCTTGCCCTCAAAAGGAACCAGGGAAGCAGATACTACACGAGCAGAAGCCATTCAGAAATGACAGGGCTGAGTTGAGAGTGGTGGAGCAGGGCTGTAATCCCAGCCACTTAGGAGGCTGAGGCAGGAGGATACGGAGGACCCCACCTGGAGCCCCAGGGTTGATGGCATGGGAGCATGACAGGGACACCTGTGAGCCTTCTGGAACTTGGCTCTTAGCTAGGGTACGTGGGAGAGGAGAGAAGCTGGGGGTGAATAAATAAATACAGACACGGTTTCTCAGCAACCCCAAGCCCTTCGCATGGTGTCCTGAAAGTGACCAGGCAGCATTCCTGCCCTCAGTGACTCTGCAACCCCACCTCGTTGCCAAGTCAGCACGGGCTCTGGGGCAGGTTGTTCCCCAGACTCCCAGGGAATTACTGTGAGGAAGAATGCGTGTAAATGCTGAGCAGGCAAGCTGCAGTGCGGCAATCTGAGGCGGGCGGCTCCTCCAGGAAGACTTCCGGAAGGAGTTGTCATGGTAATGGGGCTGGGAAAGGGAGGAGTACCAGGGTTAGGTATTTAGTAAGTACCAGATGCAGGACCTCAGCAGAATCTATGATGGGGGAGGCGACTTGGGTGCGGCTCGGCTGTACAGGGCATGCTTGACATGTGTGCAGAGTCCATCCCCAGCACCAGAACCTAACCAAAGTAGCCAATCCACCAAACAAACCTGAGGGGGCAGATCCTCATGACCCCCATGTTACAGGTGGGGACACAGGTTCACAGGCGTGAAGCCACATCCTTAAGATCAAACCCAGCTATGGCCAATTCCAAGCCTGTCTTTTTGCTTTGCTGCTGAGCGAGGATTGAACCTGGAGGTCATGTTTGCTAAACTCACTCTCTACACTTATCCTTACTGGATAAACCTAAACATTTTAACACCACCTACCCCCAGCACAGCCTACCCTCCTCTCTACCACCTTCAGGCCCAGGCTTCAGAAGCAGCAGACTTGTTTTCTAATCCTTTCAAAACTTCACCTGGGCATGACAGAGGATGCCTGTAATCCTAGAACTTGGGAGGGCTGAGGCAGGAGGATCTCTCAGAGTTAGAGACCAACCTGGGATATATAGCAAGACCAGATGTCAAAATTAAACCAATTTCCCCAATCCTATCTGTCTATCTACCTATCATCCATCTATCTTTCTTTTATACACACGCACACATCTACATAGATATAGACATTTGAGACAGAGTCTCAGTAGCTCAAGTTGGCTTCAAACTAGCTGAGGTTGTCCTTGAACTCCCAATCCCCCTATCTCCATCTCCTAAGGAAATGCAGGTGCACTACCACACTTTTTTTCTTTTTCCTAAGTGAGGATGAACCACAAACTACCGAGGCCCAGAGTAGTTGGTGGTGGGAAGGTGGGGGCTGGGAATGGCTTCAGCCAAACAGGACCAGTTCCTGTAGCCAGCATGTGACCTTTCAATCGCACACCCCAGCAACTGTCCCCAGGCAGCCAGTGAGAGACCATCCCCCCTCCCTGAGTCTCAGGTGAGCAGACTGGGCCTTAGTGCCAACTCCTGGTCCCCAGCTGATGCCCACCTCAGGGCATGGCATCTGGCCAGGTGAGTGAGTACCTAGCAATCCCCTCATTATATCCCCTGCGTCAGGGCCATGGGGCCAGCTGTGTCAGCCAAACCATTGGTGATTGTTTCTTTCCCAGGTATGACTATTGCCAGTTTGACAGGCTGTCCCCAGATACTGCCACACCCAAGGACTGCAGGGCAGCTTGCAGCCTCCCAAATCGGACTTTCCAGCCATGGAGGGGGCACTGACTACGGCTTCCTTCTCCTGTGCTGAGGCACCCAATTCCCCAAGCTGCTCTGTTCAGGGCTTCTGCTGAGACCTTGGGAAGACTAGAGACTTGCAAAGCTTGCAAGAGCAAGCCCTCTGGCTGCAGCTGGAGAGATCAGGTTGTTTAGTTCAGTTCTCTGGGGTGAGAAAGCAAACGACTTGTTCAAGGTCACAAGCACAGTAAGTGGCTGAGTTGAACTAGAACCTGGTCTCCAGAACCAGAGAAGGGGCTCCAGTAAGAAGGGGTCCCTTTAGCCAGGCACAAGCAAGGATGTATTTTTCTAGCTGCTCCGATTGTTGCAGTAGGGAAGACCCTGTTGGACACAGAGGTAGAAGGCTTCCGCTCTTGAACCAGGAAACAACTTAGCACTGGGGAGAAGCCCTACAAGTTCCTCCCTCCCCAGACCCTTAGTACCCCCACAGCTTTTAGAGCTGCCACCAGAAGTCAGTGACTGCTCAGGCACGTGCTCCCTTGGGAGTCTGGAACCAGACAGGATATTGAGTAGTCAAATCCACTGCCATGGCACAGATGGGGCCACGGAGCGAGGGAACCAACAATGAACCCAGACACCCAACTTCTCAGTCTAGCCCTGAGGCCTCTGCCACCTCCCCACTCCGCAGCCAGCAGTTCCCTGTTCTGGGATGTCCCTAGTTTAGGAGGACCATACCATGAAATTGGCTGCCTCACATGACTAGGAGACAGGTTGGTACCCAGTCACATTTGTGCCCTTAGTGTCAGTTTGGATACTTGTCCCTGGGGAGGTGTGATCATGCTGGGCAGCACCTTTGCCTCCCTTCATGCCTGGGACTATGGTATTTCCTCAAGAGAAAAATAAGCATAGTGGGCATTCACCTGTAATACCAGCTACTCAGGACGCTGGGGCAGGTGGATCATTTGGACCTACAAGTTTGAGAGGAGGCCAGGCAAAACATAGGAAGACCCTGTCTCAAAACAAAACAAGTCAAAGCGGGTTTACTAATAACCCAGACAACAGCGGAATGCTTTAGCCAGCTCCACAGGGACAGCCAGTGAGTCAGCCCAGGAGAATCCGTCCCCGCCCCCTCCATCTCATTCCTTGTTCCTAGGGAGGGTGAGACCATCCCCCAGCAGCCACCCTCCCTCTCTGTTGGAAACTATGGCAGCAGGGGGATGTCCAGCTTCACCTGGTTTTTGCGTAAAGCCCATGATTGGCAGTAACCCACAGGAAGCATCACTAGACTTTTCTGGTTTCCATTATCAGACTCCTCTAAGATCTAGATGTTGAGTTTGGGAGTCAGGGGAATGATGGCGAACTCTGGAACCTGTACCATCTGCTCCCGGGGAACTCCTGGAATGCCCCGAGTTTTCTCTCCACCATACTAAGTAGTCTTAGACAGCTCACTGTCCCACCTGAGGCCTCAGCTAGAATGGGGGGATGAGAACAGGCATCCCCTTGGTGTTTCAGAATACCGAAGTGCTCAGGCTATAACCCCAAAGAGTAAGTCTGAGGTCATACAGGGTTAAATAAAAGGAAGCTAGAGTTTGATGGAGGGAGCAGCTGCTAGAACCTTCCCCAAACATCCTCAGGAGGGGGATGGTGCCTTGGGGTCTGAACCCTGAACTGGCCTTCATTTCCAGTCTTAAGGGAAGAGGAACACCTAAAATGGAAATCTGATGCTATCTTCAGGGGTGGGGTCTCGGGTCTGGCCGAAGCACGTGGGAGGCAGGGAGTCTTCCCAAGGACCTCTGAGCTGTTTCACCTAGCCAAAGTTTCTTGAGTCAAGGGCTGTGGGAACACAAGGACAGTGCCCCTGGATCCCTGAGGGTGCAGGAGGTTCAAGGGTGTGGACTAGAGGAAGGAAGCTATTTTGGAACAAAGCACACACACTCCTCATCGGCGGCTGCCCGTACCTTTTGCCTTGGCTTGCAGATGGGGAGGTGCCTCCATCTAGTGCCTTCCTCATCTCCCGGCCAGGGTCTTGGTGAGTGGTTCCCAGGGGATAAGGACGCCCCCAAGATTGTGGGCAGGAAAGCTCAACAGGGTGCGGGAAGAGCAGAGCTGGTAGCCCCGGTTCCGATTCCTTAGTTTTCCTAGTTGCCGGGCCAATCGCAGACTCCAGGTGTCTTGCGGCAGAGCACCCCCTAACCCCCCGCCCCTGCCAGCGCCCCCTCACCTGCACGATCTGTCGGGGCTGCACGCTCAGCGTGGGGAAGTTGCCTCGCCCGTGAATGGGGATCGGTTCCCTCAGCAGCGCGTCCAGCCGCTTCACCTGTGGCCAGCTCAGCCGGCTCTGGTGTCGTCCCGGAGAGGCCGAGGAGGCCTCCGGGTCCGGGCCGCCGCCGGCCGCCCCAGCCGTGGCCACTGCCAAGGACGCATCCGTCCCCACTTGCGCAGCTGGCCGCTCCAGGCTCTCAGCTCCACTCCCCGACGGCATCATTCGCCCGGCCCCGGCGCCCCGACGGCAGAAACCCGGGAATGGTTAAGTCGACGAGAGTAGTGAGAGTGTCTGCGCACCGGCCGAGGCTGGGGGCGGGGTGCGGGACCCGGCGGCGGCGGCGGCGGCGTGGCAAACCCAGGGGACACCTCCGACGGCGGCTAGGACTAACAGACCTGAGAGCCAGGTGGATGGGGCCCAGCTGATTCTTATAGGCCGCGGGCCGCACCCCCATTGGTCGGCACAGCTGTCACACAGCGGGAGCCTACTATTGGCCAGCCCAGTTTTGCACTGGAGTACTGGCTCCTAGGGATCCTGGTTGGCTGAAAGGCACGCCCCTTCCCCGCCCCCTCTCTCCGGCTGAATTCCCTCCTTTGGTCTTTAAAGAACTTCTGCCGACTGTGATTGGCCCGAGCCTGCCGGGACCCAGACGGACAGCGCCCTCAAGCGGCAGGAGGGAGGGAGGTCTTTGTAAAGTATGTTGCAGTATTTAATAAAGCGGCTGCTTTCTAATTTATTCCCTTGATTGGCCCTTCGAACCACAGCAAGCCTGACCTACATTTTAGGTAAGGTGAAATCTGCTCAGAGAGAGGGCATTATTACCACTCATCGCGTAGCGTGTGAGTGCCCGTTATGGTCCTGATGGAGGTGTAAAAATCTATGCAGCACCCTCTCTCTGCTTCAACTGGGCAGATCCCGGGCCTTTCTGGAATGGATATTTCTGTTTTTCTTCTCTCTCTTTACGGATCATAGATGCTGAGACTTATTGCTACTTTTGAATTTGCCAAGTTTTGCTTTTTTTTTCTAGATTTTAAATACATGTGTCATGGGGAGGAGGAAAAATCGTAATTGAGTCACCCTGATTCATAACTGCAGTGTTTTTTTCTTCTCATTATCCCAAAAACATAACGAATTCCATATCCTCCTGCTCTCCTATAAGGCAGGCTAAGGAGTAACATGACAGTGAAGGAGGAATCAAGACTTAGAAGCATGCCAGGCGTTGGTGGCACACGCCTTTAATCCCAGCACTCGGGAGGCAGAGGCAGGCAGATCTCTGTGAGTTCGAGACCAGCCTGGACTACCGAGCGAGTTCCAGGACAGCCTCCAAAGCCACAGAGAAACCCTGTCTCGAAAAACCAAAAAAAAAAAAAAAAAAAAAAAAAAAAAAGACTTAGAAGCAGCTACTACACCCCAGGGTCTGAGGACACTGCTTAGTCCGCCTTGAGCCAGAATACACATTTCTTTCCAGAAGCCAGCCCCAGCAACATGCTACCCTTGTTTCCCTCTCCTGGAAACCCCAAGAGAAGGTATCATGTGCTCACCAGGTCAATACCTCTGTATTCTTTCCAGTGAAGTTGGTTGTTATTTTCACTTCTTTATTCTTTTATTTTTTGTTATTTTATTTTATATTTTAGAGACAAGGTCTCATTAGCTGATCTGTAACTCACTATGCAGATCAGGCTGGCCTTGAACTCAGATCTGCTGGCCTCAAACTCAGACACCTGCCTGCCTCTGCCTTCCAAGTGCTAGAATTAAAGGCATGCACCACTACCATTCTTACATTTATTCTCTCTCTCTCTCTCTCTCTCTCTCTCTCTCTCTCTCTCTCTCTCTCTCTCTCTCTCTCTCTCTCTGTTTGTGTGTGTGTGTGTGTGTGTGTGTGTCTGGGGGCATAATCCAGGGATTGAGTTTAAGTTCTCAGCCTTGGTGACAAGATCCTTTATTCCCTGAGTCATCTTTTGGCTTGTTTGTTTGGTGTTTTGTTTTGAGACAGTTTCTCTGTGCAGCCCTGGCTGTTCTGGAACTCACTCTATAGATCAGGTTGGCCTCCAACTCAGAACAAGGCACTGGGATTAAAGGTGTATGCCACCACCTCCCTGTGATCCTGTCTTCAAAAAATAATAAAGGAGAGCTGGAGGTGTGTCTCAGTGACTGATTGCCTGCCTAGCATGCTGGAAGTCCAGGCTTCAATTGCTAATGCCACACAAGGGAAAAATAAAGATGAGAGCTCATTTGACTGACTTATCTCAGAACCCTGGGCCACTGAGGAAAGAGTTTGAGGTCCTGTTAGAGTGTTCTCTGGCCTAGGGGTTTGGCTCAGTGGCTCTGAGAGCTTGCATACACTAGTGCAAGGGCCTGGGTCTATTCCCCAATCACCAAAACCAACCCAAAACATCCCAAAGTCCACAGCATAGCACTGTCACTTGCTTCCTCTCATCCCTCAACAGAAGGGGGGACTAACATTTCTTAAACCTCTACTATGCACCAAATCATGTTACATATGTTGATAATTCATTCTTGAAAATATGCCTCAGCAGGTGAGATCATTTTTCTAGATATGCAGATGAAGAAATTAAGGCTCCAGAGATCAAGTGATGTGTCCAAAGTCATACAACCACTAATTGGCAGTATAGGGCTTGAACTCAGGCCTCCTGACTGTATTTCCAGCCCCTCCTCTTAGAAGTTGGCACAGGTCATGCGGTCATGCTTGGCACAGCCCTGGCATCGCCCATAACACCCATCCCTCCATTTATTCATTCTTCAGTCAGCATCCCCTGTATACACAAGGAACTTATTAGGTGCCAGATGCCAGACTGAACCCTGAGATAGGGCAGGCAACGTCTTTGTCCTTTTAGAACGTTTGACTGTAGAAAGACAGTAGAGAAGTAAACGAGACACTTCAGATGACGGGCTAAGGTAAAATAAAACAGGGCCACAGGAAAGAATAACCGGAAAGGGGAGCGGGAACTGAGATGCTGGACCAGGGACAGCTTCTTGGCCTGGTGAATTTCTGCTCGGTCCCCTTCTGACCCACCTCTCTGTGTTTGTGCCTGAAGAGCCAGGGCAGTCAGAGAGATACCAGACCACATAGTATTAGAAGCCTGAAGGCCCCAGGCGGAACAATGAGGCTGAAAACCATTGAGGGAGTAGTGCCCCTCTTACAGACTTGATCAAGTTTTCTAAGGAAATCCAAATCTCTTTGTCTATCTTTTTCCTTCTGTCTGGGCTAGGAAGAGCAGTTAGCCAGCACATGTACTATATGAGTCACCCTTCTGTCAACACTTCCATTCGCAAAATTGATGCCTTCCATGTTTGCCCAATGGGTTTAGGGGTGACTTGGGGAATTTAGGGAGGCCGAGAGAGAGAACACAACAGGTGCTCCCAGTAAGATCTTTTAAAAAAAGATTTATTTATTTATGTATATGGATACTTTGTCTGCATGTACATCTGCATGCCAGAATAGGGTACCAGACAGTTGTGAGCTGACATGTGGGTTCTGGGAATTGAACTTAGGACCTTTGGAAGAGCAGTAAGTGCTCTTAACCACTGAGCAATCTCTCCAGCCCCCCCCAGTAAAATCTTTTGTTTCCATCACAACCAGCTTTAAAGTATCCCAATGAGTGGAGGCAATGCACTCTGGGTGCATCTTGAGTCCAGTTGGCTTCAGGATGTTATGGGTGAGCCTCTGCCAGGCGCCTGTACACGTTTCCCATCTTAATTATGACTCCATCTGATCTTAAAAGGGAACTTTGTTCTCTGTGATAACAGAGTTGTAGAGATAGAAAGCAACCTCTTTGTCTGGCTGGACCCCAGCTGCTTATTCTGTAAAATGGGAGTGCACCAGGGGTAGGCTCTCCCATTCATCTGACCAGAGGCTAGATTGCCACACTGGCCTCTGGGCTCTGGGACCCCAGAAGAAAGAGTTCTGGGAATGCTGATGTATGGCTGCTTAATAAACCCTCACCACAAGCATGCTGCCTGTCTTATGCTTGCCACACCTCGGCAGATCTCAGAACATAATCTCATGGCCCAAGAACAATAGCTCACTTCGAAGGAGGAAAAACCGAGGCCAGAGAAATGAAGTCATTTGTGTGGAGCCTCAGAGTTAGAGAGACTTCATACCTAGGTCTGGCTGAACTCCAGGCCTAAGTCCCAGTGAGGACCTCACCCAAGGGGTGACTTCGGAAAGCCAAATTACACACAGGTGATCCTTCCCAGTGGCGCTCACCCATCCCCTCTTCCTGTGGGTCTTGGCCTCCAGCCTACTTCATGTCCTCACGGCCAAGGTAATGAACATTGTCATTACTGGTAATTGTGCCCCTAGCCTGTATAGTGTCGACACCGGCCACGCCTCTCATCTCCTCCATTTACACAGCCCCAGCCCCATTAGCTTCTTCCCCCACGGGGTCCTCCTCTCTGCTCCCCCCTCCACCAGCCTAGAGTCCATGGCAGTCGCTGTAATCACTTCCTTGCATACACCCTCAGCCCCCTTGCTCCCCCATCATTAAATTGCCTCTGCCTGGCAAAGCCACACCCTGGCTAAGCCTCCACAGCTGACTGGGGCTGAGGAGGGACACAGCCCTGCTGATCTCACTGCAACATCAGACCCACCATCTTACCCTCTCCAGTCCTAGAGAACACGGACAGGCCTTCCGTTTCTCGACTCTAAATTCTCTACCTGTGTCCCCGTCTCAAGGGATGCCCTTGCTCCTCCTTTCCCTAGGAGAACAGACCAATCTGAAGGACATTTCCCTCCACACTCAACACCTGCTCCACGCACTCTGTGCGTCGGCTCAGCCTCCCCTCCTGCTGCAGGGACGCACCTGTTTGCTCCTCCCTTGAGCACCCGGGCCCCTTCTCCTCACTGGTGGCAGGACTTTTCTCCACTGACTTTCCCTCTCTCATTGACTGGATCACTCTAATCTGCATTAAGACATAATCTCCAAAAAGCTGGGGTGTGGTAGTACATGCCGGTGATCCCAGTACAAGGGAGACATTTGGTTCCACCCTTTTACCTAAATGCCTTTGTCAGATTTAAGGTCGCATTGCTAAATCTAATCCTCAATTTTCTTTCTTTCTTTCTTTTTTTTTTTTTTGAGACAGGGTTTCTCTGTGTAGCCCTCACTGTCCTGGAACTCACTTTGTAGACCAGGCTGGCCTTGACTCACAGAGATCTGCCTGCCTCTGCCTCCCCAGTGCTGGGATTAAAGGCATGTGCTGCCAACACCTAGCCCTTTTTTCCTTTTTTCTTTCTCTCTCTTTTGTCTTTTTTCTTTTAGTTTTTCTTTTTTATCTTTTCTTTTTCTTTTTTTTTGGCTTTATGAGACAGGGTTTCTCTGTATTGTTTTGGAGGCTGTAGGTTCAGCCTGGCCTTGAACTCACGGAGATTCGCCTGCCTGTCTCCCGAGTGCTGGGATTAAAGGCGTGCGCCACCAACAACGCCTGGCTCTCTCTCTCTCTCTCTCTCTC